CCGCCTCCATTGTGATTTAATGTTATTTACATACTTTACCGTAATTGAGGGTTATATTCAATCTTAGCCAGGTGTGTAATAGGTTGTCAAGGTGTTTTAGCCAATAGACCAGGCTGGTGATGTCCTTACACAATATCGTTGGGCTGCAGGTATAATAAACAACATAGAATGCAATATTACTGTGTGGGTAACATTCTTGGGTATACCGTCTTGAATCCTTGATCCTTTTATATTTATTATACAAACGGATGTATCAATAATTCATTATGAGAACGAGAGAGCGCCTCTTAGGAAATGTTTTGCCTTGACAGGACCAAAACTGTAAAGGATTACGCAATTATGACTGTCCATAGAATAGACTACTTCTAAAATCGTTACGATCAAAGAAACTTGCCTTTTAAATATAATGCTTTGGGATAGTAACCGATGAGGTTATCCATGTAGGAGTAAGTAAATGTAAGGTTCTTTCAAGCATTCACAGCATTTACATTTCCCTTGGAAATAAACCCGAATAAAATCGTATGATTATTCCGCGATGAAGTCAACTAGGACACATCAAATTTGTTGTCACTTTGAAAGATGATTTGTTTAAAGGCTCCAGTAAATTAGAATCAATGAAACAATCCAAAGACCTCATGATGGTATAATACAAGTAAGAAACACATCCAATTATCTCAAAGTATGTACTTGTCATTCGTCGAAACACCTACGGAACGAGGATGTAACGTTACATTCAAGTACAATCAAAGTAATCATTATCACTAATTTGTATTTTGATAATATTAATTATAGTACACACATCTATAAAACAATTTATAGCGCTATTGTTACATAACAACACTCTGTCAACGAATCGAGGTTATCAGTAGAACACGTTTATTTGAACGACGATAAAATATTGGAAAGGAAGGAAAAGATTTGCCGAATGATCAAAGGAGGTTGCACAATGCTTTTTATCGTGAAATGCTGTTTCCTTCGGAAGACGCCATGTTGACCCAGATCCACTGTTCGGCATCTGGGAGATAAACTATTCTCAAAGAAACGGAATTTCAGTTTGATCTCATTACATCACTTTGGCCTAGCAACAGTTCATAAGGGAAAACGAGCTAATCGCCAGTGCAGATTAATTTGGCATTGACATTTTATTGCTAAAATAAAGCATACAATACAATGAATCACAACCCAAACAAAGCAAGTACAATCCTTGCTGAATTCAAGATCACTGTCAGACAACTGGTCGAGGCATCTAAACAGGTAGGACAGCTTTCTAAGCAAATAAGTCGCCTAAAGGCTCGCGTCGCCATGAACTTGGTTCAATTCTGTCAGGCGGTTGATACTTTTCGCATCAGTGGTAATAAGTCAGTCACGAGCTTGTAGGTCGACGATCTACGTAACGGTACATCTACATATAAATATAATTGGAACACATGTTTATGAGAAAGCAGCTGTTGTAACGACTGCATGGTAATTGGCTGTTATTAAGGCAATTGTTTGTATGCTTGTCTCGATGATTTAGTGGCTCTCAATTCACTTCCTGAGGGTAGAGTACTCAAATAATGAATGTCGACCGAAGAATTGCAAGATAATACATATAGATAGGAGAAGAAATTGATGTTTCTAGCAAATAAATGAGAATAAGCGTATTTATACCTCAGTATGGCAAAGCAACTTTCTTAGAAATACCGAAAAAGGATTTCCCTTTCACCTAGAGTAAGACGTGGCAAAGAAGTAATCAAATATAAAGAAAACACAAATATTGTTTGCCTTCGTAACATAAGTAACTAAGAGGACAGAGACAATAAAATACAGCAACAGATTAAGTCAGGGGATTAACAAAGCCGGTTACAAAATTAAATAACACCCATTAAGACAAATCATGTGATTCGACTGCTGTGTATGATACGTCATTGCGGACTTCTATGCTGCAGAGGAAAACATGAAAACAACTGCAGTTTACAAACGGATCAACTAACACTGTAAACTGAAATTAGTACCTAAGTAATCATTATCATTAACCAGGAAGAAAAAATAGGGCTATAAGTTATCACAAAGAATGGTGACATTTGTTAAAAACCCAAGAGAATTTTAATGTTTTCTTTCTTTATCTACTTAACTGGATTCCTTGATTTCGATTTACGTCCCAGACCTAAGAATTTAATGTGAACAGCAGATAAATTTATTAGATACTTTAGGCACTTGTGCAACACGAGCCAGCATCTGAAAATTTATGCATTACTCGACCCGCACGCAGACATCCGTTACACTCATTAGTGAGGAAGCAATGAATTCCATGCAGTTTGCCCAGACAATGCAGTGATACTAATTCTGTGTTTCAACACCATTGGTGTAACCAAAGACTTTGGCACCGAATATAGTGGCACTAACAGCTTCACTTTAATCTTGAAATAATCACTTTTATCTTAAACCAAGTAACCTTGTTTTCGTGGCAATAAATCCGCCACTGTGATTTACTACAATCCAAATTTTATCTCGTCAGTAGGACCTCCGAGATAGTTGCAATCTTCAGACAAAACGTCGTTATCAGTCATCTTAATAACATTCGATAAAATATAAGTATTGTTATTGTTTGAATCAGTTATCTACAAATTACTTGAGAATTTTTGTTGACATAATAAATACAGGACGTAAGAAAAGTTTTAAGCTGATTCTTCACACGTCCTACCGAGGTAGGTTTTGGAAAAATACATAACTTTATGCAGTATAGTTAATATTGTTAAAACGAGTGTAGGAATGAGGTCGTGACATGATAGTCGTGTGATACCTGTGACAAGGAACTGTGACAATCTTTGAACAGGTATTGTGATCGTTGTGATGTAAAACATGCGTTTAATAAACGTTTGTGTTTAAACAGACTGCATCCAATCGAGTGGCTTGTGATTCTTACACAAGGTATTGTAGACAGCGACAAAACTCTGATAAACCGGAAAACAGTGAGAACAATAAAACGTATACAACCGATTTCTTTCAAAAATGTCAACTAAGTTGCACTACAATCGGTCACTAGCAGCAATTTACTTTTCAAGGCAGAAGTATTGAAGAATTTTATTAATTCCTATTGAAATATACCAAATTATATCAGCTAAGGTCGTCGTTCAGTATGCTTTTATATTTGCCAGTAAACTGTTGATACACTTTGTTGCTACAGTGTCAATTAGAAACAACCTCAATGACGTAATTGAAACCTAACAAGCCCATATTGTGTTAGACAGCCAGCATTGTGTTACACAATGTATCTACTTGGAAAAGGCTAAGCAAATTTATCACAACCATACTCGATCAATTCAAGGTTGTAGCGGAAACTCCGTCATTGTTAGACTTGTTAAACACAATTTTCAATCACTTCAAATACCGTAAGATTGAATATAAACCTATGTAAATTAAATATTGGCACATGATAACCAGCTGTTGGCTCTGTACCAAACACTAGTCTACTTTAATATTAGTCATCTGCGTATATTACCTTTTCTAGATACCAGATTCTTGTATTAATTACATTTTTAAAGTTAACCAAGCTCATGTCCTTTTGTGGACTTTAGTAAGCCATTTGATACCCTTAAGTTTGTAGAGATGAATAACACGAGTTTGTAATCATACTAAAATATGACACGAAATATAAATTATATCTAATACACTCGTACCAAGACGCTGTTAGGATTGTCTATGTTTGAAAAATGTCTCCGATCTCGAAACTTTTCCTATTCATATAAAATTTATTTCGGTGTCCCCCAAGGAACACATTTTGGGTTATTATTAAATAATAACTAATTTGTGTGATTACACACATTTCTTATGTATATTTAAAAAAAGATATTTATTGAATTGGAAAAGTTTGATTACGGAGTTCCGTGTTTTCAGCATTTACATTTTCGCACCTAATTCCATTATCTATTCTTGAAGTCCAAGTTACCTTGACGGCGTACATGAAATCTAACGTTCTTTAAAACAATAACTGTGATATTGAAGTGAATGTTAGTAAGCAAGTGAAGGGTGTTAAATTGAACTGAATGTTCACTTGTCCCCAAGTGGTGAAGACAACATTGAAAGAAGTCAAGTTGGTTTCAATGATGCCTGGCAAGTTACTTTAGAGTCTGCAACCATACATTTATAACATACACCATACCCGAACCATATCTACCTCTATACCCAACTACAATATAAAATACAAATATACACTACTAACCAAGGCAGGAATTCCAGGGATTCTTGTTTATCCCGCAAACTAGGGAATAAATCAAGCACAAATGTTTAGCAATACTGTACAGTTAGAGCTAAAATTATAGTATTATAGTCTAATTATATTATTACATTGTTGGTAATGATGTACAATAATTTATTAATGCTTTCATTCAAATATTTTAAATATACATTGTTGAAGGGAAAACATGCATTACAGTTATTAAAGGTCATCGTGAGGGAGTTAAATATATTCAATTGACCAATTGGACATCTTTAGTTGTAACTGCAGATATTTGTAGTTAATGTTCTTGTTTTTAAATGAATTTATATTTAGTAGGAAAGTGTCATGTATCATCACGAGCAATATTATTTTAATATAAGTGTTCACATAAACCGCAAAACTGAAGTTCCACTTCTAGTTCAGAGCAAATTACTATGTTGACAATGTAAATATTTACAAGATTCTTCGTCAAATAATAAAAGTGTCAAGTTTATGTGAACAACGTGATTGATTGCATCGTCTTTCGAGTAATACGTCACTAGGTCATTATTCGTAGCAGATTACTAACGCAGATACAATATTAATCAGTAAAGTTAGTATGCGTAAGTGTGTTTATTTCGTGATAATAACGCACGGTATTTACGAGTTATGTTTGACACGCTAGACATACAAGACGATCAACCAATAGAACCAAGTCTAGGAGCAGCAACTGAGCTGTTGGCCGAGAGCAACAGTCCAGCTGCGTCCAGTATCGGGTGGTGGTCAGTGTCACTCCAGTGCGTATGTACACACGCATACATACCCTAGTTGGACGTGGCCGATATGTCGGTTCGGGTCGTCGGATATGAGGGCGCGCGTCATCGACTCAGTGGTATTGGCACCACCCTCGTGCTACACGGAGGACAAACATAAACATGTAGACAAACATTGCCCATATGACGTCACAATGAACGCGATAGGTACGACATTTACACCACACGATGCACACGTTTCCTTGCCTGTTGTAGTAAAAAAGTAGCGCCATCGAGTCACTGCAATCACCTCGTTCTACGCGGTGGTGTGCTGGTAATTACCTAGCTACCAACAATTTATATAAAGCTTCATATGCATTGTTAGTTTGTGTCTACTTTGAATTGTGTTCAAATTACAGTGTCGTTTATAATAAACTAAAGAATATATACTCTATAACTCTGACACGTTCGTGATCTACTTACTTATGACATGAACATATAAAATCATAATGGCATGCATAAAATGACAAGTACAGAAAGCGTGGATGACTTTATGATAACGGAAAGAAACTATGTATTTTGTAAACCTTGTCGACTCCGATAGCTGGAAACGTTCGTAGATGGACTTCAAAAATAAATCATGTCGGTAACACTGTTAGTTCAAATAAAATTAAAATCTCACTCAGGCAGCAATTGGTTAGCACGCTCGGTAAGGGAGTCAGGAGTACTTGACTAAGCTTTAGTAGACTGACACGGTCTGGGCCGGGCTGGTTGCGGAGCTACACTAAGCTATCATTCCATCACACAAAGAAGTCAAAGAGAGGTGTTATGTTGATGATATACTATAAACCGGCCGACTCCAATGCTTGCCTGAGTGGTGATCGGTAGACTCCAGAATCAGCGTCACAGTACAAGCGCTGTAAAAATAATAACGCTCATGTGTGTGCTTTGATTTCCATCGACAAAAATGGAAATCAAAACGATCCAACGAGCGCTTCGAAATCAATCTGAGCATACCCCAGCTTGAGAGCTTGCCCGCCCGCCATGAGCCCCTCCTCCCCAAGTAGGGTCACTTGTTCCTCCTCGCGCGACGGGTCCGCCATCTTGTGCACACATACGCCAATATGGCGCCAAGGTCAGACACACGTCAATGTCAATGTCACATTTGGTACGATTTATGCGCGTGAAGGATTTAATTTGTGGGCATGAAATCATCTTGTGATAGTGCGGTGGATACATTGGAGTTTGACTGAGATTAGAAATCGTTCATGTACCCTAACACGAGAACAATCAATGAAGACAGTAACGTATGCGTGCTATCAATCATCTGACGACAATAGACGTACAAAAATGTGACATTGACATTACGACGTAATTATTTCAAACAATATAACCGAATCTAAACGTTTCAATTCATAAGCTCGTCGTTTTTGAAGCCCACTTTGTCGGATACATAAGTATAAAATAATTTATAAAATATAAATAAGTAAATTAGGACCCACGACCTTCATTTAAGGAAAATGTTAACTAAGTATTGAAAGTGTTGAACATAAATTAGTATTTGATATTGTTATTATTGTGCTTAAAGTTAATAAAATAAAATAAAATAATAATACTGAATGAGACACTGATTCAAATCAAAATAAAGGGAAATCAATAAATAATAAACGATGATAAAATAAACTAGGCCGATTGAGACATGTTGAACGTGGAGCTAGTTTTTTTCTACAACAGCATGATTTTGTATCGGCCTCACACCTCTGCTATTGTGTTTTTCAAGCTTAACTCTATCTAATTGATTAACTCGAATCTATTGACGATATTCCCTTCACAGACTAGTATCTGTAATTACAATGCCAGTCTATATTGACTTAGTATAAAGAATGACATCTGACGTAATTAACTACCATACTATAAGATTACGTTGATATAATTAATCGACATTACACATTTTGCGTAAAACATCACGAGGACATTAGCAGTGAGGCGTTTATCATTAGATATATTGACGAGGCAACTACTAATTACGATGATACATACTTGATACTAGGCACGTTAACAGATTTATTATTTTGTGAATTTATTGGAAGGCAGTTAGACCTTGGTGGTTGTATTCGTGAGCTGTATGTACTTATTGAAACATACCTCGTCAAAGAAAACTTGCGTTTTTCTAAGTATGTGCTTGAGTTCTGTGAGCTCAAGGTAGTTTCTCTTCAGAGCTTCAGCGTTCTGGTTGACCTCACGGAGTTCATTCTCCAACTTTTCGAAGGTAGCCTACGAGGGAAAATTATAAATATTTACATTGAGCTGACACGACAGTTGCTTAGTCATATCTCGTGACTCTGATGGATAAGTGAAGAGTTTACCTCAAGATCGATCATCTCCCTCGGCTGTGGAGCCTCAGGGCATTCGCCCGGGATCTCGAGCATGGGGATCCCGTCACGACGAATCTCCTTCTCCAAGTAACGGAGCTTTCGCTCCATCTCATCGCAACGACGTACTTCATTGACGAATTTGCGTTGGAAAGCGTTCACATCTGGGTTTAACTAAAAAGAATACATAAATTATTAGAAGACTAAAAGAATGGAAAATTTTAAAATCTGAGATTCGACAGAGTAATTTGTAGGGTTTCACTGGCGTATGTTCGATTAGTTCTGCAGTCCTTTTCGTTTTTACTTTGTTGATCTGCAATATCGCGAGGTTTAAGTGGTATTGCTATCTATAGCTAACATTAAATATTAATACTGATTTAATTCCCGACAACAACTGCTCTCAATAGAATATCGACCCATGCGGGCAAAGCATAAAACTGTGTACGTAGTCGGCAAGCTTAGTAAACTGGCGGGTACTTATCATAAATATGGTTGTAAAGTTGGCAACCACGCTTTATGGCTCGCCTCTTCCACCATTATATTTTTTAAGTTATAATAATTTTACTGTTCCATTGTTTACGTGAATAATAAAGTCAGTATTAGGTAAGTCCAAGTACAACATAAATACAAGAAAAAGTCATTAATTAGCAGCATTATTCAGGCGCCTGCATCTCTGCAATTGACAAATGAATACATAAGGAATTTTCACGACGAATTCTATGAATTTTCCTCTGATGAAGGTCACACTTTTATGTCGAGAAACAATACAAAACTTCAATGAAAAATGTACGATGTTATTTAAAATAGAAGACATTGTGTTAGTAACAATGGACTGATGAAAACAAGCTGCTTATGTACACTGAGAATAATATTAGTGGTCATATGACCCCAGACAATATGGCGATCATCCTTAACAGGTATAAATGGCAAGAATTAATGTATGTATACATGTTTCTGGATCAAATCAAAATCATTTATTCCAACTAAACCATAAATAGGTACTTTTGAAACGGCAAAATAGAATAGTAGTCTGTTAGTCTGTTTGTCAGTGAAGCTAGGTGCAGTGAAGATAGATTTGTTCTCCTCTATAGGGTCCTTGTTTTTTGGAAAGCACATTTTGTAGACTATTAGCCTAATTACATATTTATATCTCACTACTCTTTTACTGTCTCACTACTCTGTGCCTCATGCAAATATACTACAAGCATTGGAATAACTTCAATTGGGTCATATATATAATACATTGGCATTGGTCGACCACTACGCGGAGTTGCGTTGTTCCGCAACGCGATATCGATGCGTCGGGGTACAACTGGCGCACGCGCCGTGATGCATGCAAATAACTAAGTATTGGATAGTCAACAATTCAACATCACAGTAGCTGGGTACCTACATTACTAATGAAAGAGAAACCATATTTTGGTTACCTACATATCAAGTATTTTTTATCATGTAACTTACTTTTTTTATATAATTTAATATAGATAGATATATTAGTATTCAGTCTATCATGGGGACTGACTCTCAAGCTGTGGAGAGAAGTCATGAACCACTAAAAAAAAAACAAACTGTGTCTCAAAAAAAATATTCTTTTTTGCATACTAATTGTTTTGTAGGAATGCATTGTAGATTAAATTAGTATTTTAGTAGTTCTAATACAATATGAATTCAAAACAAAGGCTGGTCTTTGATGATAAATAAAATACCTATATATGATTCAAACAATAATATTGTGTGGTCTTTTCATTATTCATTATGAATCACTTGGGTTCTAGGTAATAATTTTTTCTAGAGATGCATTTCCATTATGTATTCCCTTTATTTCCCAAAGTATTCGAAAAACAAATTGTTGAAAATAAAATTTTATAAGCTTTCCTATACCACAAAAAGGGTGCCTCATTTCCTCACCAATCCAGCAACTACAGTGTGTAGTCAGCACGGTACTCTCTTCGTCTCTGGATTAGGGTCCATGCCCCACATTTTATTGTATAATCAACAACATATTAGTGATGGATGTGTGATGAATTTGTCGATGAAACAAGTAATTTGTCTTGTCATTTCTAAATTTCCCAATTTAGAAGTCAAAGCCAAATTATTTACTTTAATCACACCATATTCAGGGTCATTTCACCAGAACCCTGTTTGGTAGGTAATGAAGTTTGCTTTTCTCATATGTTCTGTATCTCGATGGTCAAAATCATAATGATTTGATTTCAGGATTATTCCTTACTTTGCCAAAAGTGTGTCTTAGTAAAGCAAAGTAGGAATTATTAATTGAATAACTTTATTTGATCAATTTAATTATTATATTAATATTATTGGAAGACCCAATTTTTTTTCATTATGTATTTCTAAATACGTATTACAGATATTATTTTGTGAGTTACGCTAATGATAAGATTAAGGTACAGTTTTTAGGTGTGAACTTATCAGAAATAATTCTTTTTTATCACTGATTGTGAATGTGAAGTAATTAACTTGGTCTACTTATATAACTAATAGCACAATCACATTTTTTTAATCAATCACATGATTTCTTTTTTTATTTGTGACTTTAGGTTGGTACTAATGTCCAATAGAATGAATGAATTACTGCAGAAAAATTAAGAAGTAAAGCAGTCCAATAACCCCATTTTTAAATACTGGCTGAATGCTTAATAATGATAAAATATATATTTCCTTCACTCAATTATTAAAGGTATAACTTCTAAATACAAGCAGTGCATTCTAGTCTTGGAAACAAACCAATATGAAACCTGTTTTCATTTATTAACCAAAATAGATTAAAAATTCTAATCACATGATGGTAATTTCCAAGAAATCTGAGCTAATGCCAACATAATATTGTATTAGAAAAGTTTAATGAAAGGTGTCTGAGATGTGTATGATGATAGATAGATAAGTTAAAAATCTTGAGGTTATTGAACTTACTAAAACAATAGACAAGCCTTCTCTTTTCTTCAATTTTATGTGTTAGTGGACCTTCCTTTACATTAAATTTTTAGGAGTAAATATAATTATAACAAACTGTACTGACAGGCTTTGTTTGGCTTGATTTTCCCCTCACAAAAAAAAGGCTTTGTTTGGGTTTAAATATGTTAATATTATTGAGCTTATTGTATTCTAACAAGAGTGTCCAACACTCTCACTGAGAAATCCTCTGTCATGAATAAACCTACATCAACCAATCCAACCTATTGTTTCATGAATGCCTATTGCAAATAAATTAGATAATGTGAGACATACTACAATGCTAGATAAATACCCAAGTAACAGGATGCTCGTGTTAGATAAAAACATTAAAAGGTTTGAATTTTAATTGGAAAAGATTTGTCTTTGTAAAAACTGCAACTGGACTGAGAGCAGAACTCTTATACAATAGTTTTCTGTTATTATCTTCGTAATAATTACATCGAAAATCATTACAGTCATGAAATCAGGGCACGAAACAAGATCTGACGCGAAACGAGGTCATAGTTTTCCTTATCGAAACAATACACCTCTAATATCTTACAATATTATTAGAGAAAAGGGGCGTATAACATGATCCACATGGCACTACTCACATCTCGGAACTGCACAAGCCCCAGCTCCCCGAGTTCAGACACGCATGCATACGCGGCCTCGCTCTGCAGGAAAAGTTGACATAATGTCATTTCTTCACTTCTAAACAACGACCCCATCTTTCACGGTTTCTTGCGGCACAACACAAAATAAAAATTTATCCAACTTCAGAAAACGGCCCCGTCGCAATAGTCTGCGAGCAGACTTCGGCAGCGACGAAACCAAATTACTAGTGGAGACAAATCAATCGATATGAATAACTTTCAAGTGAACATTACTCATCGTGCGCAACACGGACTTGTTTGGGGATACACTCTGAAAATTTTACTTTCCCATAATACATTCTTAATTTTTTTACATCAGCTGTTACTCTATCATAAATAATTATGATCTCCTAAAAATGTTTAATATCCTTGTCCGCGTTTCAGACGTAGGGTATTCGTGATATCGTACTTTTTTACTTTTCGAATCATTTACTATTTTTGTTAGAAATTCAGTAAAGGATAAGAAATAAGAAATGCTATCCGTTGACTATATTGAATTTTAAGTATGAATAAACATTAAAGCTTTTTAGGAGTATCTCAAGTAAGATTTTTTTACTTTTTTGAATGATTTGTAATTGTATTAAAAAGTGTATTAGTGGAAGTGAATATTTAAGTTTTTACTTTATATTCGGGAAATTGTTTTCATGTGGTATCATTGATTATTGCTTTCTCTGTCTATTAATACGCTTATCTCTTTTACACTATTGATTAAAATCTTGACGTTATAGAGCATGTTTGTAAAGTATGCTTTGTGGAAAAAAAAATGAATTTTAAATATTTTTTATTTAACCTATTCCGCATAATAACACCAATTTTAATATTAAACATGTATCTCCTGAAAAATAAATTTCAAGACATGGTATTTTATTGAAATCCTTGGAAATACTTCAAGCATTAACCAACTAAAATAAAAATAGATAAATTTTGACAGTTGGTAAACTAAATTTTTATTGTGCATCTCTTTTTTGCTCATGGGTACATGGTGTAAATAATGTCAACGGATAGCTTCTAGGTTTTTCAATGCTACACTTTTTAAATTATCCACTTAGGAATGTGTGGGAGTGAAGAATTGAGGTTATGGATTTAGCTTGAAACGAAAATAATTTAGCGAATTTAGACTATGAATAGACATAAATGTGAATGAAAATCCCAACGAAATGGTGTGTAAACTTAATTTATACGTCTAAAGATAGATACTGTGCACGCTTATGTGGATCATTGCATTTTATTTACATTGCAGGCACTGCTCGGCGCTCAATTAGTTATCACACTGATTATGGTATCAGTGATACAAAAGTTGGGAAGTTACTCGTTTGCAAGATGGTTACTATGTTCACAAAGACTGTACAGGTACCTGTATCCTACAAATAGTGAATTAAAAAGTTTAGCAGGAGTTCCAAAAGAATCTTCGAAGGGTAAAAAGGGAGGTAAACATGAGTCAAATGGTAAGGCGGAGACTTTTCATGTTCCTCGAAGTCTGGATATACAGCTGGAGACGGCGCCCGTGACTCCTTTGGATGTGGTGCATTTGAGGTTTTACACTGAGTATGTGTGGATAGTAGACTTCTCACTGTACACAGCTATAGTGTATCTTATGTCAGAGGTAAGTGTTAATTTGGTCTAATACACTGTAAATAGTCCTGTAGCAAATGTTCTATTAAGAAGGTACTTTGCACAGGGAACTATTTAAATATGACTTTATAATATTTATTACCATTAAAGTTCATTCTAATGTAATATTTAATTATTTTCAAATTCCAGGTTTACACATCAGTATTCCCATTGAAAGATGAATTTAACTTGAGTATGGTGTGGTGTCTCCTCGTGGTGCTATTCTCATTGTATCCTTTACAATTTATAGTGCCTTAACTTCAATTTACAGGATTTTAAAAAGGGGAGCAAAAAAAAAATCACATAGCACATTATTTTAAATTCTTTAATTTGAAATATTTTTTCATATATTTTTAATATGTATGTTAAACTGATTCCAAAAAAGTAACTGAGGAATTACTCATTCTTTCTTCTTCGTCGAAATTTACATTTTGGTACAACACAGCAACACTTTTTATTCTTTGAGTTTGTTTGACATTCAAAAGTGCCTGTAAGGGTCTTATTGAAATTAATGATTTTGTCTTTGACTTTGAATCTATCTATCTAGGGTCTGATCATCCATGTGTGTATGCCATATGATACATCTATATTTCCTTAACTTATGACACAGTAAAATCTTGCTGAGTTTGACAAAGCAGTACTTTACAAGTGATGAGTCTATTGGTGAGCGTTCCACCTGCATAGTGGCCTTCTGTGTGTTCCTACTGGTTGCTATGATGGTGCTCATTGTCAGTGAGGCCAACCTTGAAGTGGGAGTAGACCCTGCTTATGACAGCTTCTATGAAAATGCATCAAAGTTCCTCGAAAACCAAGGCCTGTCCTCTGTGTAAGTCTAATATTATGTGTAGCATAAGTACAAAAGACACCATGTACCATGTAAAAAAATATCATTATTAAAATATCATGTAAAATGTAATTATGTGCCACATAAGTGTATCAGGAACTTATATAAAGGTGATGAGATGGATGCTAAAGTGATTTACTATGTTCTGGTTCTTCCAAAAATATCTGTGACACATACATCATTATATTCTGTCATCCTTAATATACTTTCTTAATTGCTTTCAATTTATATTTCATTATTACTTAACTTATATTTACTTATATTAAGTTATAATTTTATTGTTAAAATGTACTTATTTGACAATGTTTTCAGGGGTCCAGCGTCAAAGTTAATACTGAAATTCTTTTTCGCTGTGTGGGCAGCTATTATTGGAACATTGTTCACCTTCCCTGGACTAAGAGTTGCCAGGATGCACTGGGATTCACTTAGGTAAGAAACAGAAACAGGTTTAAAAAATGATATTTAGTTTTTATGCTTTTAGAATTAAAGGAAGCGAGTGTTGGTTCTTTACTGAAGTTATTTGTTTAACTACCATGAAATTTTAATTTCAAATTTCAAAAGATATTAAATATCATGCAATTAAATCCAAGGTAAAAAAACGTTATGCTTTGGTTTCTTGTAAAATAATCACAATTGGGTAGTCTTCTGGGTCAAAAAAAAAATATATAATTTGATGTTTCAATTCAATAAAATATTGAAAAATAACTATACTTTCATTCATCGATCGATCGACACACAATTTTTTTGATATTATTAGCTTATTTTTACGAAATAAGTGAGCTATTTGACTTAATAATGCCATGACGTCATAAATCAGTATTTCATACAAATTTCATAGAAAAGTATCGTTTTTGAAATTTGGATAAAAGTATTGAATTTGATAAGTGGGAAACTACTATAAAGACGGGTGTCAGATTGATATAAACATCACAAAGTAAAATGCAGAACTAACTTTATTCCTGGTAATACACTAGTTATACATATATTGGTTACATACTGAAGTTATAAGCATATGTACTAGGCCACACTACCATATTGATAAAAAATAATGTATCATTTCCTTACAGATATTATGGAGACAATAAAATGAAATCACTACTGCTCAACTTCAATTTTGCAATGCCATTTGTGCTAGTTCTTTTATGGGTGCGCCCCATCACCAGGCATTATCTTACTGTTAGAGTGTTCAGTGGGATGGAGAAGCCATTGTAAGTTCATCCTATGTTCTAATATTATTTATATAGAATTGGGTAGTTTCCTAGATCAAAAATAAATTATTTCGACATTTCAATACAATAAAATATTGAAAAATAAGTATACTTTTATTCATCGATGGATCGATACACTAATTTTTAGATTTTTTTTAGCTCATTATTAAGAAATAAGTAAGCTATTTGACGCAAAAAAGTTATGACGTCATAGCTCAGTTTTTTATACAAATTTCATAGAAAAGTATCGTTTTTGACGTTTGGATAAAAGTATTGAATTTGACTAGTTGGAAACTACCATATTACAGTACATTAATCATATTAAACAAATCTGAATGATATTTAAAATACAAATAAATCGTAATCTGGAATAACACATAGGCTACTATACTACATTGTCATATACCTTACACTGTACTAGTGGAAACATAGTATAATCGTTTCTATCGTACACTCTTGTCAGAGTGGTTGTGGTCATGTAATGTCCTTGGTAAGATGCCTTTGCGATTTCTATCCACTTTTTCCTGTTAGTGGCATTCCTCGCGCACTCCACAATTGAGCAGAATGTCACTGATTTTAAAATGTCCATCCATCTTGTTGGTGACCGACCACGAGGACACTGACCCTCTATTCTACCTTGCACCACCAATCGTTCCATTGAGTCTTCGCTTCGAATGATATGGCCAAACATTTTAAGAGTTCTTGCTTGCACAATCGAAGAAAGTCTTCGTTTGATGCGAAGCTCTTTTAATATTGGTGCGGTGCTCAGTTCAGCTTATCCTCAGTAGTCGTCTCCAGCACCAAATTTCCAGCGCGTCTATTCTACCGCGATCCCTTTGACGAATCGTCATGGTATAATAGTGAAACATAATTTTTAACTGTTCGCAGAATGACATCAGACGCGTTCGACACGATGCGTATTATTCTTGTGGCAAGTACAGTAGTCATCCGGCTAGCGTTGATGCCACGTCAGTTGCAGGCATACTTGGACATGGCACAACGTCGTCTTGATGTACAGAAGAAAGAAGCTGGGAGGATTACAAACATTGACTTGCAGAAGAAAGTAAGTAGAAATACCTGACAATTTATGACGACGCTTTTTAATCTGAAAAAACGAGATATAGAAAATTTTTATCAGTTTTTTCAGTTTCAAAAGTGCATGTCACAGGCACTTCATTAAATGAAATAAAAGCTTTGATCTTGAAAGCTCACGTAATAGATTCAAGCAATTAACCTCATGAAGAAAAAATAACTGAACTACCAACTACAAACCTGGTGCTTTAATACATCTCAATGGAGAAACCTAGATATAAGTACTTACTCCTTCTAAAATTGCTCCACAAATGCTTTTCAAAATTCTACTCGCCTCTCTTCTTTTCTACTCCTCCATTTGTCCAATAGCCCAAAATATTTGTTGCTATAATAAAATGCAAAATAATCACTACAATACTTTATTTTTGCAGATCGCATCAGTATTCTACTACCTCTGTGTAGTAGCCCTTCAATATATTTGCCCCATCATAATGTGTCTGTACATGGCTCTAATGTACAAGACCCTCGGTGGGTACACATGGACCGGACTCTTCTATGAAAGCCAAGAAGTGTGTACTATGGATGATAAGACAGCAACAGTGACTGACAGCATTGTAGAAGGAGACGGTATTGAGCAGTTCCAGCTTGCTTGGGAGAATTTAAAAATGGTTAGTTTCAACTAAATTTTTTTACATAGGATGACAAGGAAGTACTCCTTAATTAGAACGTTTTGGAATATCATTAGTATAATGACCTTATTTGATTATACTTTTTGTTTTAAATAATACTTTATCAATTTGTCCAAAAGGTCTGCACTTCAAGAGACATTTTTATGGCATTTTATTCGTAATTAAGAAACTTCTTCTTTTATTTTATTTTATTCACTTGAATTAACTGAGAAAAGCTCTACTAGTTTCGAGTCACATCAGGACTTAACAAAACTTATTTAGACGTCCCACAGCCGACTAACAGTCCTCTCTTTGCCCACCGTACACCTCTTGAGACCACCTAGGCGTGGTCTCACGACGTGTACGGTGGGCAAAGAGCGCTTACAGTCGCTCAACAGTTGCCCGCTCGTCGTCTAAATGATTTGTTGTAATTTGAAACTAGTAGAGCTTTTCTCAGTTAATTCATGTGAAGAAATTTCTTAATTTCGAATAAAATGCCATAAAAATGTCTCTTGAAGTGCACACCTTTTGGACAAATTGTTTCACCTCCTCTTTGTGTAAATTATTTTTGCAAAATGTATCAAATATCTGTTGTATTTCTATTTTGTAATAATTTTTGCAAGTTATGTAATAAATAACTGTTTTGCCATCCCCAGGTATTCACAGTAGATGTGTATCGAGGTGTGTTCGGGTTCGCTACATGGTGGTGCTGCTTCGCCTGGTTCCTCACGACATCGCTCGGTTTAGCCTACCAAACATACTTCAGAATCTCGTGATATACAGACTCCATAGCTATTAGAGTTCTAGTCACAAGTTGATTAATTTTGAGTGGTAACATAAAAAAGATTGGTTGTAATTTTAAAGATTGAATGTTTCCTGTTATTAAAGACATATAAGTAAACCTACAATTTGTATTGTGAAGAAGTATATAGGTGGCATGAACCTAATGTAAATATGGGCACAGAGTATAAAATACATCAATTTGTTTATTCAGACTGTCTATCATGTGTTATGTAATGACCAAAGTATAAAAATACCAATCCAAGTAGTCCTTGACACAGATATCAGATATTAAATGAGTAGTCTTAAGATTCCAATGATTTCATTTACACTGTGTATTTACTGTGTTAGTTTTTAGTTCAGATTTTGGAGCACAATACTACTTTTGTACTGTATTGCCTGTAGAATGGTCTTGCTTTTTTCCTGTTTTAAGGTGTGTGTGAATCCTATGACTTTGGTCTTCATAAAGCAGCGATAAAAGTTTAATTGATAATTTACCTACAATATAGATAGCAAGTTTGTTGTTGTGGTCATTATAAAATGATGCAACTTCACTCTTAATTATAAATTTTAGCCAACTCATTCTGATTACTCTGTTAGTATGTTATGTACATAATAGATATAGCACAAAATGCTTTCTATATGAATCTGGAATAAGAGTTGCATCTAGGTGGTTGTGTAGGATTAGGAATGTTTTATTTATTATTCATTTGTATTGTATTGGACTGTTTTATAATAAATAATGAAAATTATAACTCACTTTTTATTGAGAACGATTTATGGAGGTAGATATGTGTATTATTGGTAATGTCCACATTTCAGTTCTTATAAACTGAGCTGACTACTAGCCGTTGTTATGCTTTATTTACGTGATTCTGATGGCCACGATTTTCAGGATTAAAGTGGATAAATATCTATACAATAAGGAATGTACAAACCCAATATGTAATTTCGGTTTTTGGCAGGTTATTCTACCTCTATCCCCTATTCCGAACCTTGGAAAAGCACCTTACCAACGCCCATGTTTGTCCGTGGACCTTAGACATGGATTTTTATCTTCCTAAAAATTGTAAAACAACGTAACAAAAAGGGATTTAGCGCATATCCGCAGAATGTCGGAGGTATCTAGATTATATAACCTTATCCTTAAGCATACTTACAAGAAATCAAAACCCGAGTGGCCCAAAGCTAAACATAATGAAACGTTTAGTTTCGGGTACATTCCAGAAAAAATATTATTCATGTTACACAATAGAGGGCAGTATTGCATAAAAGCCATATTTAGAGTGTTTTGCATTGCTAACGTTGGAATTAAGAAATGATTTTGTTATAGAGTCTATATGGGTTATCTGATTGAAACATCGAAATCATATTATTATCAAACCTTTTCAATCGAAATAAAATATTATTGAGTGTGACTCACACAGTATATTATTTATTTTCATTCATTTAAATTTGCCGCCGATTTCTGGCAGCGCTAGTGTTGTAGCAAGTGTTAACTCTCTAAATTACTAATATCGATAGCGACTACATTTTACACAAATTGTAAAAAAGTTTAACGTTTTTTAAATTCTAATTATAAACCTATTACTGAAATAACGTGCTTGCTACAACAAGTTATCTTATGAAGACAGAAATAATAAGTTGTTATCTAGCGTTTGTACTAAATAAGGTTATGCTTTATGGAGCCACGTGGCCAATGAAAGGAGGGAAATATTATAGCTAAACTCAACTAGCTTTCTCAAAATATAAAAAAAAATATTTGTACTTCAATTAGTTTTGATACTTAATGTAAAGTATTACATATTACTTAATGCTCTGATAGCCTGCAAGTTAATTTGCGCGACTCTTAAACCCGGGCCGCTAGTTCTAACTTGATAATAATAAGTATCAATGTGATTGTTCTGAACTTTATGAGCTTTTTGAGATCAATTTAAATGTCAATTTCATACGGTGAAGGAAAAACACGTAAGTTTGCACTTATAGTTTACCAATTCGCCTTGAGCTAGAATGAACAATGCTCTTAGGTACTTTCTCCATGTGAGAAGAGGCCTTTGTTCAGCATGGGCCTTTATATGCTGTAATGATTAGTTTATGACATATATGAGCAATAAATGACTAGTGCTTTTTGGTTTTAAAGAAAATAAGGTTTTTCATCTATTATATTTTAGCTTTTGCCAGAAATTACAAAATAAACCGGTGTTTTGAATATGGGATTATATTCAATCAGGATTCGGTTAATTTAATAGTAGCCTATTCCAGTCTACAGGGTTCTATGACTTCTATGCCATTATAACTGACCGAGTCATAAATATTTTTAATTATACATATTAGAAATGGTTTAGTAGTTTTGTGTTTCAAATTCCAGAAAAACACATCGATATGTCTGACCACACTTATTACTACATCACTACCAAGACTACGCCATATTAAAAAAACGTTGCAGATGTCAATTTCCAACCAATCAGAAAAAAGCACGCTGAGAGGGAGTGAATTCTATTGGCCGACCCAAGGAATATTCCAGAACAACCGAGTGACGTCGAATGACGCATCCCCGCTCATATAAACTCTGCGGTGAAATTCCGACGCCATATTATTTCGTGAAAAGAAGCCGTCAATCGCGCACCTTTGCTGAGTTTACTCTACGAGTTAAGTCAACGACTGAGATAGTTTTACATTAAAATCTAAAAAGTAAGTGGACCCTATTTTGTCTATTTGACTACATTATTTTACATAACTATTTTATATTTCTATTTCTAATTTTGTGAATATTTATATTTTTAAATTCTTTGTGTTGCTATGAGACGGACAGGAAGATTTCTTATTTTTAATTCTTAAGTTATTGTACGTTTCTGTGAATTAATTGTAAAATCCGCATGGTCATCAGGGAAACAATTCAGAACATGCACGTTTTTATTATGGCACGTGAGTAAATCACCGTTTTTGTTCATCTTGAATGAACCACGTGGTAATTAAACCAGGTGTTAAATTTCCTGTGCACAACATAAGTGTTTCAAATACGACGATATTGATTACTTTGCATCGCAGTGTTTCAAAATTTTCCGCAGTAAGTTCTGGAACGTTCTGTTGTTCTACAGTAGTTATTGATTTTTCATGTAATGGCTGCCGTTGCAATTTCTGCTTTGTAGTTAACTAAACAACACTACATAATGTTCGTTATATTGTTAGCGGCTTTTGAATAATTTACCGAACCGGCGGTTTTCCCACGTGATAGTACCAGATTTTACTTTACATCCAACAAAATGGCGGCGTATAACCTCGCGATGTCTGGCTAATCTGATGAATGATGACCATTTATGTATTACAGGGCTAAGATAGTGTGCTTTCAATACTAATTCTATTGAATATTGTGATTTATTGTTACAGATGGCCAAAGCACCAGCTGTAGGTATCGACTTGGGTACCACTTACTCATGCGTGGGAGTTTTCCAGCATGGTAAGGTGGAAATCATCGCCAACGACCAGGGCAACAGGACCACGCCCTCTTATGTCGCGTTTACAGACACCGAGCGTCTCATCGGTGATGCCGCCAAGAACCAGGTGGCGATGAACCCCAACAACACAATCTTCGGTAAGTTTCTAGTCGCCGCTGTTTGGTTTCGAGCATTTTCTAGCATTAACTTCTAATTTAACCTTGCATTGACCCTTTGTAGTTTTATTTGTTCTTGGGGAACCTTTTGAGGTTAGTGTAGGCAAACCGGCATTTTGAACCTGAATGTACCCGACCAGGAAGCGATAGCGTAATCGTAATGACAACACGTGAATAGGTCCCACGATATCACCGAGTGATTTGCGGTCTTTCCGGGCGGTTGATTACAGTATCCTAGTTACAAAAATAGGTCGCGCGATCAATACAGGACCCTAGGTCATTCAACTATGCACCTGGTAAAGTACTTACTAATATTAAATCCGGGTTTGCTGCTTAGTCACCCAACAGTTATAAGTAATACTTACAATAATGATGGATTGCATACAATAAGGTTATGTTTAAGGGCACTTTCGTTTAAGACAATGTAGAGCAGGTTGCTGCGCCCCTAAGACGACCCACTGACCCTGGAATGATAGTGGTGGAAGTAATGAGTCATTGTTTATACAACATCTAATCATATTTCTGTATTGATGACTAACTGACATAACTGGAAATAATTTCGTCATCTTCCGATTTGATTATGGGACTTGTTAAATGAGTCATCTGTGTAAAACTAGAAAGGTCAATGTTTAAGATCGGAACACAGTTACATAAACTTGTATGTATATTTATTACACAAAAGTTATAGGTTCTTAGGTTTTCATGATGATATCCAATATACTAGACTAGAGTCTCTGAACATATTGAATGATAAAAGTATTCTGAGGTAATAACATTAAGCACCAAGTATGCTTTTAATATAAATAGAATTTCAACAAACATGGTTGCTTGTTACAGATGCTAAACGTCTCATCGGCCGCAAATTCGAAGATGCCACTGTTCAAGCAGATATGAAGCACTGGCCTTTCGAGGTTGTCAGTGATGGTGGCAAACCTAAGATCAAGGTCTCGTACAAGGGCGAAGATAAAACTTTCTTCCCTGAAGAAGTTAGCTCAATGGTGCTCACAAAAATGAAGGAAACAGCCGAGGCCTACCTTGGCAAAACGGTGCAGAATGCAGTTATTACGGTTCCAGCGTACTTCAATGACTCCCAGAGGCAAGCCACGAAAGATGCGGGTACCATCTCTGGCTTGAACGTTCTCCGTATTATCAACGAACCGACTGCTGCTGCGATTGCGTACGGCCTTGACAAGAAGGGTAGTGGAGAACGTAACGTTTTGATTTTCGATCTCGGTGGCGGTACCTTCGATGTGTCCATTCTGACCATCGAGGATGGTATCTTCGAAGTAAAATCCACCGCCGGTGACACTCACTTGGGAGGAGAGGACTTCGACAACCGCATGGTGAACCACTTCGTGCAGGAGTTCAAGAGGAAGTACAAGAAGGACCTCGCCACCAACAAGAGGGCTCTTCGACGACTGCGCACGGCTTGTGAAAGGGCAAAGAGAACTCTCTCGTCATCCACACAGGCCAGCATTGAAATCGATTCTCTCTTTGAGGGTATTGATTTCTACACATCAATCACCAGAGCGCGTTTCGAGGAACTGAACGCTGATTTGTTCAGATCTACCATGGAGCCTGTTGAAAAGTCACTCCGTGATGCGAAGATGGACAAGTCACAAATCCACGACATCGTACTTGTAGGTGGTTCTACTCGTATTCCCAAGGTGCAGAAGCTCCTTCAAGACTTCTTCAATGGAAAGGAGCTTAACAAATCCATCAACCCTGACGAGGCTGTAGCTTACGGTGCCGCTGTGCAAGCCGCCATTTTGCACGGTGACAAGTCTGAGGAGGTCCAGGACCTGTTGCTGCTCGACGTGACGCCGCTGTCTCTCGGTATCGAGACCGCTGGTGGTGTCATGACCACTCTAATCAAGCGTAACACCACTATTCCCACCAAGCAAACGCAGACCTTCACCACCTACTCTGACAACCAGCCCGGAGTACTCATCCAGGTGTTCGAGGGTGAGCGTGCAATGACCAAGGATAACAACTTGCTCGGTAAATTCGAGCTGACTGGTATCCCCCCTGCGCCTCGTGGCGTGCCTCAGATCGAAGTCACCTTTGACATTGACGCTAACGGAATCCTTAACGTATCTGCGGTCGAGAAGTCTACCAACAAGGAGAACAAGATTACCATTA